ACGCGAACAGCAGTAACTTCTCCTATGCCGTCCGCGAGTTCTGCAGGGGTGCGCCATGCGACTTCATGGGCTTTGTCGAGACCCACTTGTATGGCAAGCAGCTTAAGGACGAACGGCGACACCTCATATGCATGGGGTGGCGCACTGAGTACACTACATCATCAGCCAAGCCGACGTCGGGTAAGGGCAGATCTGGGGGAGCTCTCTGGGCGCGTGCGAGGCAATTCAATACCTTCCCACATCTTGCTACTAGTGCAGGCGGCGACCTTCTGGGCCAACAGAACCAGGACATTGCAGTCACCATGGTCCGTCTCAAGCATGTCACTGTGGCATTCATTGCAGTATACCTCACCTCCGATCCGAAGGGGCTGGACTTGCCAGTCCACATCTCTAAGCTCACGCAGCTGCTCACCCTCGTCCGTACGTTGGGCACGCCGTGGATGGTCCATGGCGATTTCAATAACACTCCAGAGCAGTTCAGGGCCTCCCGCTGGCACGAGGCCTTCGCAGCGGAATATCTACTGCCGAACTGCGATCTCACATGTGCAGGAAGCTCTGGGCGAATGATAGACTGGGGTCTGTGTTCGCCAGCTTTCCTGCCGCTCGTCAAGTCCATCGAGCCTGTCTACAACGTTCCCTGGCAGTCGCACGTGGGTATTGACATCCGCATGCATTCTCGGCCAGCCGCAGTGATGTGCACGAGGCCTCTTCTCCCAGCTCCCATCGAAGTTCCCAATCACGAGATCCACATCGAAAAAGGACTGAAGAGGAAGCATCACGACCGCCACAGATACGAGCAGCTGCACCATACTGAAGATGGTGAGGTCATGGAGCCAAGCACGGACATCCACGACCACCTGCTGCAAGACCACTACATCGAGAAGTTCCCGTGCATCGTGGACGCCGACACATGGCCTCCCACAATAACCAGGTGCAGAACATCCCCATCCTGGACGCCAGCCCCGAGACGCAGCAGCGCGTCGCCAACGCCCTCGACCCTGAGGCAGCGGAGGAGCTAGCGCAGTCTTACGGCAGATTGGCCATGGCGGCCGAGTCTTCGCTCCTCAACCTATCGGATGAGATGCCGATCAGTGATGAGAGACGACGAGGCCAACCCTTACGCTATCGGCTCGAGCAGATGATTCGCCAGCCAGACCCGCTCTACATCCAGGCGGGCACTCAGCAATTGGAAACGAAAGCATGGATCAGCCTCACCAGCCAGCTCCAGGTCTTCAGCAAGCAGTGCGAACGTCATCATCAGCACCACGATGCGAACTTCGGAGCAGCCAAGCCCAAGACTATCAACAGCGACGACCAGCGCATTGCCGACAACGTGCTGGACGATCCTATTGCGCGAATGGTTGCCAGAACGCCGCCGTACCAGTGTTACCCGTGGACTGATATCCCCTTCGGCAGCCGACTACAATTTCCAGACCCAGCTACGTTGGCAAGTAGCTCAGCGCCGCCCTCCATCAGTGCAGAGGCCAGCGCCAGTCACCAACATGGATGACATCAACATCGACCTCTTCGACGAGCTCAATGGCGACGACAGCTGCTTCGATTACCTGGAGTTGCTGCAGTGCGAGCCTGACGTCCCAGCGGAGCCGCACCCTCTACCACGAGGACGCCTGCCAGCTGCAGAGCGGCCAGGACAATCTAACATAACTGAACCAGACAGTGCCAGCGACGACGACTATGATCACACCGTCGTCGGCGAAGCAGAGCTGCACTGCCATCTCTATCAGCCTCTGGAGTTCATGAGCCGCGACCCTACGATGCAACAGGACCCTCCTCCAGTACGTGACCTTGCGGAGTCACTCACGGTCTGGGCGGCAACCTGGATCGCGGAGCTCACCAGCGAGGAGCAGCAGGAGCCGTCGGACTGGAAGTGCCGGTGTGAGCCATACCTTCTCGAGTATCTCGTGCTTCCATGGAATAGCGAGCTCACCCGACAGCTACAGCAGCGACACGGAGGCCGACCACTCGAGCAAGTTGTTCACGATCTGTGCGAGCGAGCCTGGCGACGAGCTTCTCCGAGGCGCCAAGCCATCTTTGACTGGATTGCCGAATGTGAATGCGACCATGAAGCGCGGAATGTAGCCATCAACGAGTTTTGGAGACTCCACGAGGCCACTCGTCAGATGTTCCGTGACCTACTTCAAGATCGGGCACCTGCTGAAGAGGACGGGCAGCGTTCTGACGATGACCAGGTTCGAGACGATGCCGAGCCCCCAGAGCAGCGAGTTCCAGCAGCAGCACCGCGCCAACTTCTGGACAACTTGGTGGACACAGTGCAGGGGATGAGGGCCAAAGCCCCGCAAGACAGCCCA